TTTTTATTACTATAAATATACTTACATATACAGATGTAGACTGTTCTATAGAACACTGCTAAAAACTGGTCGAGATTTTTCTATACAATAAAAAAAGATGTTGAAGGAGATAATGTACTAATGTCTGTGTGGAAACAGAGGCTGGGAGACGTTAAGGGATTTGTCTAAAGTCTCACCCCCAGTCACTGGTAGAGCCAGACAAGATATGTTGAAGGGTTTTCATACTCAAAAAGAGCAATATATCTCAGAAAGAGCACAAATATATATATATATATATATGCACATATATTTATGCACACATATATATGCATACACATATATAATGTTTATACTATGAATTCTTGATGAAATAGAACTCAACTGATTTCAAGCTCACTGTACTTTCAAAAGACTGAGGAAATGTCAAAAAAAGAAAAAAGGAGAAGCCACCAGCTATTTATTTTAAGATAATATTACTTCTGAGGATGTCCTTGGACCAGTCCTCGTTCACCAAACATCCTGCCAGTCTGTGTGGGCAAATGAAGACACACAGTGGTGAAACTGGGACACCACAGAGCCCCCTCAAACTTCAAAGGAGCTCTTGCTAAGTTACACCAGACACAAATATACATTGCATAAATGTTCACATACCAAAGAAAGATTGCCATCAAAGACTGACATGCAGAAACTGCATGGCAATAAGAGCTTGGATTCTCAGAAAACTCAATTAATCAAAATATATCACTGCTGAAACGCTGATCAAATTTACCCATACAATGTTTCTAAGGAGTGATTTCCTATACAATGTCTTAATTTCCTACACACTGTCTCTTTCCTTTTTCCGACTATAAAAAGATCTGGTTAAGGGTTTTCATACCCAGAAAGAGTAAAATATCTCCCTCCTCACTCTGCCCACTCTTGTAGGATGAGTTTGAATTCCACTTGAGCAGAGCAGAGTGCTGCCTTTTACAGTTGGCAGAATGCTTGCACACATGTAATCCCATTTGGTCCTCAAAATATTACAGTGAGGGAAACAAATGTACTAATCTCCATGTGGAAACAGAGGCTGGGAGACGTTAAGGGATTTGTCTAAAGTCTCACCCCCAGTCACTGGTAGAGCCAGACTAAAATATAGATCTTCTACCTCCTCATCTCGTGCTCTTTCTAAAGCACTGTGCCAATCCCGCGCCCTCTCTGTGGCGTGAAGTCAGGGCTCACACACCAGGAAGGTGGAATGTTTGTACCCACACTCCCTGGCCCATCGCCAGCCCACGCCAATTATTACTTCTCCTGAATATCTCTCAATCAGAGTTGTGGTTTTCTATTCTGGAAATGCATCCTTTGTTTTCCCTTTTCCCACCTGGTTAGCCATTCTTTCTCATTTCACTGTTGGTTCATTAATTTCTTGCCCTCAAAGGACCACATTTTCTCTCTCCCCTTGAGATACAATTACAAATCATGGTCTAGTTACTAACCTTGCTTCTGAGTAGCTACAAAGCTTTCTCTACCCTCCAGGTCAACACTCAACCTCTCTCCTTGCAGAAGGAGTTAGGGCATTTAGTGGGTATAAAAGCTGCCATATCTCATCTATGACCACAGCTCTTCTACAGTTAAAGCTGCCAGAATGTTAACATCAAACATTCAAAAGATTAAGACATACATTTACATTCCATTTCAGTGACTTTAATGTTAATTCAGATATTTGTTTGTGCCTACAATTACGAACCTGCTACCTGCTTTTATCTTTTCTTCTATGGTGATAACGCGAAACTAGAAAGACTGACAGATGAAGAAAGGAGTGGAGAGTGAAAAAAGGTAATATAGAACACTTTTGTGGAAAATAACAAAGAGACTGAACCAGTTATTTATTAGAAAAAATGCCCCACCATAAGTTAACAACTCTCATGTTCTAAGAATAACTTAGTAGTCTCTCTCATTTGAATTTATATGGAGGCTACCTATAAAACCTCCTTGAAAAGGTTTAAGAAGCATCTTGTTTTGATCGTGTTTGATAACCGTAGGCCAGTTCTGCATCCTTCTGCACCATTCTCAGAACTGTGCTGAACACGGCACAGCCCGTGATTTCAGTTGGCTCTCAGAGCCTCTTGCCAAAAAACATGCAGTGAGGAGGGAAGCTCAAGGGCTCTGGGGTTAGAGATGTGTGGGTTTGAAGCCCTTAAGCAAGTCACTCAAACTCACTGAGCTTCAGTTTCCTCATCCTTGAAATAGGGAAAACAATCCCATCTCATGAGGTCATTGAGAACATGAAATAAAATAGTACAGGTAAGATTCCTGGTACTGTAGCTTTTACTGAGATCCATTTAATATGAAGGAGAATTCTCTTGAGTTTCCCAAAGAATGTGTCCTAAGGCCTTCATCAAAGTTTTTTTCAAAAGAAGAGGAGGAGGAGGAGGAAGGAAAAAGCAAATACCATTTGTATAAACTTCTTCTCCCACTTCACACTCCTCCCTTAAATTGCCAGTATTTCTTTATTACACTGAAAGCTCTTTAGGCGCTGGGACTAGGTCTCATTTTCAGTCTTCCCAAAAGTAACACAGTGCCCAGGACTTGCTGTGTTTCTTCTCAGTGGGCAACCCTGACTAGAAAAGTTAAATCTCAGGGCTCTTACTAGCGGATGCTCTCCCTTTGTGTATGGCCCTACCTGTGTTTTTGATGAAGCAAATTTGTGTGAATGGTATCCAAGAAGTGGGGTGGAAGCGACATCTAAGTTTTCAAAGTAAATGGAGGCAGAGATCAACAAAAATAAGAATAACGATTAGGATATTTACAGTCAAGTTATCATTCTAAAGATCACTTATTATTTTCAAAGGGAGGAATGCATGTTTGCAATGGGAAGACTTAGCAATCACCCACTCAACCAAGTGATTAAACTTAACATCACTAACGAATGGCCAGATGCGTGTAACATAAAACACACCGCATTACCTTGAAGTAGTCTGACCAAAAATGTTTTGTCTGAATCTATTCAAACCTTTAGACTGAACTTGCAGAATACAAGAAATATAGGGGATGGAGGACAAGGTGAGTGACACCACAAGGAAATAATCAGATAAATCCAGAATGTAGAACATTCTGCAAATCAACTAGCCTTGTCCCTTCAAAAAGTCTATATGATGAAAAAAGAAAAAAAAGTTGAGGTACTTTTCTAGATGATAAAACCACTAAAAAGATTAGTGGTCAAATGCAATGTCTGAGAATCTTGATTGCCTCCTGGTTTGAAAAATATATAGTTATCAAAGACATTGAGGGGACAATCGAAGAAATTTGAATATGGAGTGGATGTTTGATGATATTAGGGAATGATTATGAACTTAGCATGTTAAAGTTCCTGTACGTATGTAAAAAATCTTATTTTTATAAGATACATGCTGAAACCTAGGGATGTCTAGAATTACTTTCAAAGGGCTTAGCCCCCCACCCAAAACAATATACTACATACATACATACACACACACAGGTTGATAAAGCAAATATGACAAAATGAACAATTACTGAGTCTAGGTGATGGAAATATTGGTGTTCATTGACTGTTTCAAATTTTCTGTATGTGTGAAAATTTGTTGTAATAAATGTTAGAAAACAAAGAGGCAAAATAACAAGCAAGCTAGTGCTCTCCGCCCTGAATGAAAATTTCATTCTCTTGCATTTAATAATAAAAATAAATTATAAAACTCTTGTCCTGATGCATTTGGGCCAGTAACTGGAGACTATACATGGCTCAGACACCCTCTACAATGGATTCTGGGGACAGCAGTTGTGCTGAGGAAAGAGCAGAGCCCTCTTAACAGGGTATCATTTTCACTGTCCTTTGAAACCTCATTATTCCCACACCAAAGATCCTATCAGCACATGGCTAATAAAATGATAAGTATAACTGGTATTTGCTTATTTACCATTTTTTATAAAGTACAATCCTTTCTCTTCTTTTAGTTGGACTCCAGTATAGAAATACAGAAAACCAAAGATCTCATCTAGCATGACTGCTATTCACCCTTTTCAACGGTTCAAATCCATCCCTTAAAAGCTCAATTTTGAGGGGGCAGCTAGTACAGGGAGGTGCTGACAACCACACAGATTTCTAGGAACTACATTTTCTTACCTGCCACAATGACTGCCTGGCCTCATATTAGCACCTTCTATTCAACCCAAACACCCCCTGTTCACAGGAGCTGATTCATGCAAGTCAAATCACCAAATCCAAGAGCCACTTGCTACCAAGTTCATGTACTTAAGGGTCTTCAACCAGCAATAAAAATAGCTTTGGATTAACTTTACAACTTGTGATCTTGCTTCTGCATAAAGATAACCTAGTCATTTGATATCACTCAAGGTTTGTTTTTTTTGTTTTGTTTTGTTTTGTTTTTTTTAATGGTGATGCAAGTGATATGAAGAAATATAGGTATGGAGGCAGCAACGCATCTTGTATGTAGTCTGGGTACTCCATTAGCCCTGCTGTGGGGGACAAGAATGAGAAGCAGCAGGAGATGAAAGCAGTAAATAATCCAAGACTTCACTCTACACACCAGGTACTTCTATTCCTTCCTGAACTTTCTAGAAGAACAGCCATTAGAAGATAAACTTGATAAATTAAAGTTTTTACAAAGGCAGGCAGCAATAGAAAGAAGCATGACCCCATGGTTAAAAGTTTGTATTACTTGGGAAAAGAGTGTGAAGTGTGAGTCTGACGATTAGCCCACAGACCTCTCTGCTATTTGGATTCTCTTCCAAACTAAAACATACCACACTAAGGCTAAAACATAAAAACATAAAATAAACTAAAGCTTAATGCTTAAAATATACATGCAATATACATATAATAACATTATATATGCTATATATATGTATAGTGAGATATATATGATGAGATCCTAGAGAGAGAGAGAGAGAGAGTGTGTGTGTGTGTGTGTGTGTGTGTGTGTGTATAATCTCCTGGGAAATGTGGAAGTGTTTCCTTTCCACTGGTGAGTTCAAGCTTATTTGAGAAGACAGGAAAGTCTTACCTAGGTACAAGGATGCATTTTCTTTCTTGACATTGTCATCTAAGTAGGTTGGTCCCAAGGTATAAATAGGTGTGGAACCCATTCCAATGAGAATCTGTGCACAAATGAATAAAGCCACATAGACCCAATGATTATTTCCTCCTGAATCATTCAGGCAGGCGGGAGGTTCGGAAGGCGCGGTGGAGTTGCCATTCTGACACAGGCCGTCGTTGGAGGCCGAGGCATTCAACTCTTGGATCTGGTAGGGAGGCGAGATGAAGTGAGGTAAAGCAAAGAGGGCAGCCCCAACGGCAATGAAAAGTCCACCCACCGCTAGCCACAGGGGCCTCCGACCCCGGCCGCCAAAGTAGCTGACGAACACCACCACCACCAGGCTCCCAATGTCAAAGCAGCTGACCAGCAGCCCCGACTCGGAACTCTTCAGACTGTAGCGCCTTTCGATGGTGGTGATGACACTGCTCAGGTACCCAGAGACCATTAACGCCTGGATGAAGGTCAGAAAGCACATGCAAACCAGGAAGCAACGGGAATCAGTGAGGACCACATAGAGGCACCTTCTCCCCTGGAGCGTGGCCAAAGTGGAGGACACCGACACGGCTTTGCTGACTTCCACCCTGTGGTTACATTCCATGAGCCCTGCCATCTCCGCCGAAGTGGAAGGAGCAGAGGGACTGGGGGCCAACCGACTTGGGCCTGGTTTCAACTCCTCATGGCCCAAAGAATCTGTACAGCCGATGGCGGGCTTGGCTCCTGCACGCGCAGGACTCAGGTCTGGCCGGCAGGAGGCGCTGTTCAGGACTGGTAAACTCTTGGACCTAAAGGTCTCTGGTTCGCACTTCTCTTGGACAGCTCCTACTGTGGCTTGCGCTTCCAGCTGCTCTCCCGCCTGGGGCTGCAGCCCGGTGCCTTCGTCCATGGCTCTTAGAACTCAGATTCGATCGCTGATCGCACTCAGGGACTCCGGCGCTTTTCATCCACCAGCACGACGGGCCGAAGTCGGGCCCACTCAGTCGTGCCCACCAGGGACCGGGGCTGGGGATGCAAAGCCGCGCAGCAGGGCATCCTCACCAGCAGAGAGGCACCCAGGGCATCCTGACCGCAGATGCGGCCCCGAGGCTCCGCAGCCGCGTGCCCCGGGGGGCAGGGGTCCGCGCGGTCCTGCGATGAGCCCTGCTTGGGGTCCACCTCGGGGCGGTAGCTCGCGGCAGGAGCCTTGCGCGTCCCGGGCGCATCCCCTCCGCCGCCGCCGCTCGGCCCGCCGCCTGGAGCGAGGACGCCCCGTGCCCAGCGTGGGGGCGCTTAGCGCTGTTGCCCGCGCCGCATACCGCCCGGCTGGCTGGGCCAGAGGCGCCCTGTCCTCGCCGCCTCGGCTTGCGACACCCTCGGGCGCAAAGATGCCAACCTGCAAAGCAGAGAGAGGGCGGTCAGCGAAGGGCGGCTGCGGCTGGGGCTGGCGTCCCGGCGCCCCGGGGGCCAGCGCTGGGTGACTCGGACGGTCCCAAATGGGACCGAGGAATGAGCGAGGAGCGAAGCCCCGGAGGAGGAGGCGGCTGCGGGCTGCAGCCTCTAGTGCCCGAACAATAAGCAGCAGGCGGTCGGCAGAGACCCTCCCTCATTGTCTACCGTGGACCTGCCCTCGCCCCGCCCCTTTTGCCTTAAACAGAGCATCTGTTTAAACAGAGCTTTTATATGTTAATAATTATCAACTTGGCGGCGCTGACTCAGAGGCAGTGTCTTTCATTCGAGTGAACTAATTGCAACCTTTTGGTACTCCTACTTCATTACTCAAAATAGAAAATGCCCAAAAGAACAAAGGAAAGTTTTTTTGTTTTTGTTTTTGTTTTGGGGGTTGGGGGTTGTTTTTTTGTTTTGTTTTGTTTTTTTTACAAACACAGTACATTCCTAGTACCGATTTAAAAAAAAAAAAAAGAAAAGAAAAGAAGGGGGTAAAGCTACGTGTGTAGAAATGTGTGTACACACTTGTGCGCAAGCACGTGTGCGCGACTGGATGCGAATCCGTCTGCTTCATCAATTAGAGACACGTATGCAAAGCCCAAAGCAGCCGCAAAAAGGTCAACGCGCTAGCCTCTTTATTCACAACACTAAAAATAACCCCCCAGCCCGAAAGAACTATTCAATTTCAAATACCAGGGGCATTTGAGGCTGCGGCCCACACTAAGTCCCAGCGCGCAGTGTCACGCGAAACCGAAAATCAGTTTGCTTTGCGGAGGGGTGGGGAAGCAACAACCAAACAAAGAGATGCCGGCACGCTGTCACAGAGCTCGCTAGGAGCCCACCGAGCAGTCTTGGCCCGAGGGGGCCGCGGGAGAGGTGTGCTGTTTACATCGAGCGCACCCCGCGAGCGTGGGCCCGGGGTGCGTGCGCGCGCGCGCACACATACACACGCACACACATACACACCCGGGAGTATGTGTCAGAACCCCTCGCGCGATCCTGCATCCAGATCGTATTCAGCGAGAGGCGAAAACAGGTGTGTCCCGGGGTAAGCCCCCGCCCCTAATCTCGCGCACTCCCACTCCCGTCCTCCCCGGGGTGATGTGCACCAGGTGGGAGACGAGAGCCGGACTTCGCTGCACTGGGTTTCATTTCGCGCTTTTGTGATGCTGCTGAGGGAAGAAAGGAGGAAGGGTAAGGGAGAAAGACGGAGAGGCTGGGCGGCCAGGGCGGTCGCTCCGGCGGCTCCCTCGGCTCTGAGGGGCCAGACCTGCTCCCAGATTCCCGGCCTGCCAGCCGCTCACAGCCCGGGCTTCCCCGCCGCCTCCCTGCCCAGGCGCCTTCCCGGGGAACCCCACGGGCGGCCGCGCGCCGAGCCGGGGAATCCCGGCAAACTCCCTCAGCGCTCCGGGGGCCGCCGAAGCGCTGCCTGCGCGGACACCCACACCGCAGCGCCGGCTCGGAGAGACACACGGTTCCTGGCAGGGAGCTCTCTGGCCCGGCGTGGAATCCCAGGGACACCCCTGCGCGCGCGCGCGCGCACACACACACACACACACACACACACAACCCGCGGGAGGACACCTCGCCGCGCTGCCCCGGCGCTCAAGCCGCCGCTACTCACTCGTGAGTCTGTCGGTCAGAATGTCTGGCTGAGAGTGGAGTGGCGGGAAGTGGGGACTGTGGAGGTGCGGGAGTAGTTGGGAGCGGCCTGGGGAGGCAGCTTCTGTCCAGCGGCGGAGAAATCAGTGAATGAGACTGTGAGTGAGGCTGAACTCTTACCCCCACCCGGCGCTTGTCACCCAAGCCTCTCCTCTCTAGACACACGCACACAGCGGACGCGCCCGGAGCGGAGCAGCAGAGGGCGCAGGCGCGCGGGCGCCCGCCCAGCCCGGCCCCAAGGCAGCGAGCCGCCCCGCTGCCCTTCACCTGCGCGGTGGGAGAGACGGAGGAGCACTGAGGCCCCGAGGGAGCAGGTCTCCGAAAAAGTCAGCTGCTGAGCCAGACAGCCCACTCGGAATTAAAAAAAAAAAAAAAATTATTTCTGTTCGTTTTTCCGTGCCGTGGGCACCCACAATGTCTAGGTACCAGAGTAGGTTCTGGGGACCAAAGATGAACAGGACAGGATCCCCGGACAGAGGAAACGTCTGTCTTGTGGAAGAAATACCCCTAAGTAGCCTAAAACAACAAGGTAAGTTCGATACAGGATGCCCCCGAAGAACCTCATATCCATTAACCTATTCCATCTTCATTTCCAGGCAGAAGGAAAGGCAAGGGCATGGTGCTCTAAGTTAGTAGGTAGAGGAGCCGCAGGGAGATCGCAAGGATGGAGCAGAGGACTGGACGGCAAGGGTGGCAGAGTGGAAAGGGTCAGCAAGGGCTTCACAGGTTGTGTGCTGTCAGCACTGAAGGGCCGGTGACATTCTGACTTGCTCACCACAAAGCTGTTCTGGCAGTGATGGGTGAATGGAGGCCCCACTGTGGCACCGAGGGGAGTTTGGAAGCAATCTCTAGACAGAATGTGATGAGCAGTGGCAAGAACATGGAGAGGAGGCAATCGCTTAAATATACAATGAGAAGGTAGAAGTGGCCAGACCTGGAGGCCAATTATAATCTGGAAGATGAGAAAACGGTCCAACGTAAGATGTCTCTCAAATTTCATAGCTGAGTGACTGGGTGGATGATGTCCAACCAAAGCACAGGAGGAGAAGCATGCTCTTGGGAGAAAGATAGTTCTCCTCTCGGATGGCGTTGATTTTGACAGCCAAGTATACGTGTCCCATAAACTATTTTGATAGATGACAGACAGGAAGTTTGGACTAGGGATGTGAATTAAGAGTCATCAGCCCAAAGGTGGCACCAGGTGAATAAGGAAGACCAGGCAGACTAAGCAGAGGAAGGCTAAGGACAGGGCCCCGGGGGACACCACAGTCAAAGAAAAGGAGAGGGGGGAAAAGCTAAGAAGGGCGATTAGAAGCAATGGTTAGAGAGGTATGTGAAGAACCAGAGGTCACAGAAACCGTAGCAGCAGAAAACTTTAAGGAGTTATCAGATGCGTGAAAGGCTGTGGAGAAGTCAGAAAGGATAACTGAAAAGAGCCCATTAGCTGTAGCAGGTAGGAGGACACTGCTGAACTTTGAGAGAGGGAGATGGTGACCTAATGAAGGAAGGGGATTGCCTTCTACAATTGCCATGTCTCTGCAGGCCACTGCTGTCATGACAAAGCCACTTCATTGAGCCTTGGCCTTATCCAATAAGAGCATTGGCTGCACTTTACACACATGACAAGTAGAGTGTAGATACATTAAGTAAGTTGGGGAGGGTGCACAGCCAGTCTGTGGAACCTGTGTGCTCCTTAAGCTCATGCTCTTGACTCTGACTCTATACTCGCTCTCTTATAATCAATCGTACAGCAGCTTCACTTTTCAGTGCACCTTGTATCTGTTAATTATCTCACTTTAGTCCAACAACTACCACTCACAGTCAATCCTTAGAGAACAAAATCGCCAGCTGACACCAAAGAACAGTTAGTGTGTGTTTGACATTCGTGTTGAGACAGCACTGATCTCCTGGTAGCTTCCAGACTGACCAAACGGGGCAAATATATTCATTTCCTCATCCTCTGCTACTATCCCCTCCTCCTGAGATCTCCATCAAGCCCACTGTTACTTTTCCACAAACAGGCCAGATGACTCCAGCTGCCACCCCTGCCCGGATTTTAGTCCCCTACTGTTGGTAAGGTGGGCAAAAATATACGTCACTTCTTGTACCTAAATACTCCTCTGAGCTTATTCTGGATCCAGACAGATTCGATCTGCCTCCTATGACATCCTTCTAAGGTCTTTGGCTCATTCTCTCATTTCGACCCCAGCCCCAAACATCAGTTGTCCTTCAGCAAATTCAATCTGTTGCACTTGGTGCCAGCAGAGGGTTTCCCTGCTGAAAAGTCAAAGAATCATGTCCCTGGAACATGCTGCATTTATTCATGGTCAATTACCATAGTTAAACTAGAAACAACTCTAAGAACCTATAGATTTTTTTATTGCCCCTAATAGAAAGATCATGATTTATAGACAGAATTTAAAAGGTCCAATTAGCTGTCCATATAGGAAACAAAAGAAAACATTTAGCAAGAGACATTCCTTTCGCTTTCCCTTCCATAGTTATGACTTTGGAAAAGGCCAGTTGTGTCTCCATCAGCCCTCATCTTCAGATTCACTGAAAGAAATGGATTCAGATCATGGGATTCTGCTATACCCATGGCTCTTTCACATAATATGAATGGGTACAATTGCCTGAACTAGGATGCCTCCCTTGTTAGGTGTATGGGGATAAACGCTCTTCAGATTTCCAGCTTGCTGATGCTTCTTAAGTCATTAATCAGTCGAACTTACACATAAGTTGCTCTTTTCCCAACCTTCATATAATAAGAAGGTAGCCTTTGGAATTACCTGTGGCATTCCATGGGCTTAAAATCTGGCTGCACTGGAGAATGGAACAGGAACAGGAGCCTTTTATTCACTCCCTTCCCTTCCTCCTTAAAAAAGGCGCACTTCGGAAGTCTCCCAGACACAAGAACTGGAATTTGGTCCAGAATATTTTCTGGGCTAATAAACAGTTGCCAGTTGCTTAAGAGGGGACAAATTATATGTTTTAGTTAACCTTTTTTTTAATATTGAAATACAGCTTTATTCACAGACCCTGAAGAGGTAACCAGAATATTTGCCTCTGTGACATATTTAAATTACATCTCTCTTCTTAGGGTCAAAAAAGTAATTTATGATATAACTGTTTTCCTCCCATTTTTTTTTATTTTTTAACTTAATTTTATTTTTACTGAGATAGAATTGACATAACACTTTTTAGATGTACAACATAATGGTTTGATATATGTATATATTGTGAAATAATTGCAATGATAAGTCCAGTTAACATCCATCACCACACGTGGTTATAAAATTTTTTTTCTCATGATGAGAACTTTTAAGATGTACTCTCTTAGCAACTTTCAGATACACAATACAGTATTGTTAACTGTAAGACTAAAAGGTAAACTCTTAACACAACTTGACATTTACACCCTTCCTTAGAAGTAAATTTCAAGCTGGGTGAAACAGAAAAGGAACAGATTTGGCCCTGGGGTCCAGTGAATGGAGGCAGTCACTCCAGCCCTGTGGTTTGCAAGTGCTAAAGGAGTGTCTGACGGGCATTTGGGTGGCTCAGTTGGTTCAGTGTCTGCCTTCAGCTCCGGTCGTGGTCCCAGGGTCCTGGGATTGAGTCCGGAGTCGGGCTCCCTGCTCAGCAGGGAATCTGCTTCTCCCTCTACCCCTCCCCCCTTCTCATGGTCTCTCTCTCTCTCTGTCTCTTGGATAAATAAATAAAATCAAAGGAGTATCTGACCAACTGTGTCAGCTTTCACACTGCGAGTCCCACAACCCAAGAGACCACAGTCCCATGAACACCTGGACATATTGTCACCCTCTAAAGGAGCCAAGCAATTTCCAGCTAATACTTCCCTTACAATCTGTAGACAAGTTGGGTCAAGGTCTGAACTAAAGACTAATAAAGGAAAATAAGTACAAGGGATAAAATGAAATGAAAGTGTGTTAGATAGGCTTGATTAACACTCAATGTGCTGTCCCTACATTCTGTTTTTCTTGAATGACAGAGCCTAGAAAGCTAAAAAAAACAAACAAAAAACAAAACAAAACACACATTTCCCAGACTGCCTTGCTGATCAGGCTCTGGATAAGAACTGAAGCATTCCTGTGAGTTTTGGAAGGTGGAATGAGTCACGGGTCACATCCTTTTTGGCTGTCTTATGCCAGCAAGCAGGTCATAGAGACATGTTATTTTTCTGCTTCAGTATTCAGCTGTCCAAACTCCAGTTTATGGGTGTTGAAAGGGAGTTGCAGCATTGGATCTCCGAACCCAGCCACAGTAGGGTCTCCTGAAGAGAATACACCTGGGAAGGCCTTTGATTTCCACACCCACAAGTTCCTCCCCCACATTGTGGCAGCTGTACCAGTTTCCCTGGCAGGACAGATGTATAATGTTCTAAGAGTCATTCCTGGTCACCCAATCTACAGATCATTTATCCAACCCTTCCAGAGATTTTCTGAGCATGTATCTTTCTGTAGTGAATCCCTTTCTGCCAAAAGCCCAGAGTGATTTCCCTATCCTACATTGGGCCAAGATTAATACAATAGATAGCTGGCTTTTAAATTATGGCTCACTCATCCACAGTTTGAGGTCCCTCTGCCTAGCTCTCAACTTGCCTCTCTAAAGCAGAAGTCTCTTGGGGAGCCTAGGTGGCGCAGTCCGTTAAGTGTCCAACTCTTGGTTCCCACTCAGGTTGTGGGCTCAGGTTGTAATCTGTGGGTCATGGGATAGAGCCCCGCATTGGTTTCTGCACTCAGGGGGGAGTCTGCTTGAGATTCTTTCACTCTACCTCTGCCCCTCCCACTCGTGCACACGTGCTCTCTCTCTCTCTCCCTCCCTCTCAAAAATAAATAAATCTTAAAGCAGAAAGAAGTCTCTTTAGGACCTATATTAGGCATGACCTTGAACTATCAGTAAACTTCTCAAAGTCTAGATCCAAAGAGCAATGCCAAGAAAAACCTGGAATTCCTCTTTCCCTCCTCCTTTCTTGATTTCCATTCCCAATCTAAGGACATTTTTTTTCCCCTAGATGATTGCAAAGATCCATATTTCAGGTTAACCTGAAGGAGGTGATCTTATCCCAGAACACAGAAGAATAATTAACACAAGATAATATAAACCAACACACTCACGGCAATGACACACTGTCGAGGCTCTGCTTCAAAGCAGGTA